GGGGGGGGGGGTTACTTACTTGCTGCTTTTGCCTGTGAATAGAGTTCTAGCAAAATGAGGTGTGGTGGGCAGACCCTCCCGATGGTCCCCACAGTCCCAGCCTCCTGTGTTCACACCCTTGTACGTGATCCCCTCTGCTAAGTGTGGGTGGGACCTGTGACTTGCTTCTGACCAAGCAAGGGGCCGACATCTGTGATTGTGTGTATGGGGGTATGTTACACGACATGGTAGCACCTGTCTCGTTGGACTCCTTTCTTCTCTCCCTTGGTGGCTTAGAGGGCACAAGTGGCCATTCTGGGGAACCCCATGTGGCAAGAACTGCAGGTGACCCCTAGTTGCTCAGAGAGGCTTCTGGCCAACACCCAGCAAGAAACTGAAGCTCTGAGTCCTACCACAACAGCAAGGAATTGCATTCTGCCAACAATCCAGGTAAGCCTGGAAGTGATCCTTCTCCAGCCGGGCCTCCAGCGAGACCACAACCCTGGTGACCCCCTTGATGGCGGCCGTGTGAGACCCGGAGCCGAGGGCTGTGCCCCGCCCCCGGACCACAGATACCGTGGGGTAATAAATGCGTTATTTTCAGCCACTAAAGTGTGTAGTATTTTGTTACACAGCAATAGATTCCTAATTAAAGAGGGCTTTAGACAGCTGAGGTCCTGCTATCGGGGTTTTCCTGAATACCGCCAGCTTCTTGTAGTTTAAACTCAGCGTCTCATCGGAAACAGGGACAGCTGAGCATGATCTTGCCAGACACGAAGACCAATATGTCTGCCCACGAGGGGGACAAAGGTTATGCTTGCTGAGGTCCTTGTCAAATCCTCTGAAATTAGGATCCTTTTTGCGGGTGGCGTGCACGGATTCCAAGAAACAGGACTCAGTTCATGGGCCACCACCAGATCTGCTCACCTTGCCTGGCTCTCAGGACATCTGCCTCGCTACCTGACCTCCCGGTCATAAAGCCACTGTCACTGCTGCCCCCAGAGAAGGAGCTGGCTGCTGAGGAGAGATCCCTGTGCCCGGGCCCTGGCCAGGCTGCGTCCCAGAGGCTCTTGCTCCCCGGGTGACAATGAGAAGGGTCAGGCGACACTCCCCGAAGTCGAGGAAGGCGAAGCCCCGCGAGGCAGGCTGTGCCCAGTGAGAGGCAGGAAATGGAAAGGAGACAAGAGATAAACTTCTTGACTTTCATCTCCCCCAACCAACTGTTCAAAAATGCGATGGCCCCACGTGGCTTCTCTGGATGCGTGCTGGGCGCCTGAGCAGCCAGCTGTGTTTCGTCGCAAAGCTGTGGCCAGCCCAATAATGCTGCGGCCTGCGTTTTCGCTCTCTCATCTCTGCCTCACTTCCCTTTTCCCTCACTCTTGCTTCCCTAGAACTGCACACCCTGAGATGGCATTCGCATGGAACGTGTGGCCTTGGGCTCCTTTCTAAGAAGCATCCCCCAGTGAAGGCCCTCCTTTCCATCCTGGATGATGCCCTTTGCAGGCTCGCAGCTGGCATTTCCCTCCTGGGTTCATCTCGTTTTCTTCCAAGGGATGTTGGGGCCACCGTCTCCTATTTTACCCCAGGAAATGCAAAAACGTTTGAATGCTGGTTCAAAAACATTGGTAACAGGCCTGCCCCCTCCAAAGCAACCTGTCGTCTCCATCCCATGGGGCAATCTTATGTCATGCGATGTCTGGGGATGGTTCATGCCATAGTTCGCCTGCACTTGGGACTGATTCCTAAGAGCTGTCTCAAAAGGCTCTGTTATTTATCACACCAGGTGCCCCCCAACGTGACTGACGAACGTGACCATGAACAGGGTGAACCCAAAGACCCCAACGCCCAGCTCCAGCCATGCAGGAGTGCAGGAATGAGGAGAACACTGGGGCAGTGGCACCAGGCCACCTCGGGTGACAGCGGAGGCTATGCTTTCCACACCCACAGGAGGCACCAGTCCTGAAGCTATGATATAAATGAAGCTCTTCATAGTTGTGCAACATGGCAGCCTTGTTTTTGTTTTTTGTTTTTCAAATGTTTGTTTATTTTTGAGAGAGAGCGCGAGTGAGCACGAGTGGGGGAGGGGCAGAGAGAGAGAGGGAGACAGAATCCGAAGCAGGCTCCAGGCCCTGAGCTGTCAACACAGAGCCCAATGTGAGGCTCGAACTCATGAACCATGAAGTCCGAAGTCCGACCCTTAACTGACTGAGCCACCCAGGGGCCCCACGGCATCCCTGTTTATAGGTTTCCATGGAAAACCTAAGTCCTAAGGAGATCGGTCTAGGGCTCACGTTACTGCAGG